ATTTTAAAATGTTTTAGAAGTCTACTTTAGTTTTACATCTTTAAATGTAAAATATATGAATTTTTAAATCTTAAACCAGTGTTTGCGTTCATTTTTGGATAATAAGATTAGTTTTTTCTTTTTTCATTGCACTCATTTCTAACCACAAGCATTTATTCAAAATCGTTTAATCCTTTTTTTTTTAAGTTGTCTACCTTTTTAATGGGTTTACATTGCAAGTGCTAAACTTTTACAAAGCTATCAAGCCACTTGACCAAAGTTCACCAGAGGGTCAAAGGAATATTCATGAACTATCTAAAACATGGTTCATGTTATCAAGTATCCTTATATGGTGGTCATTTAAATCCTGAAAAAAGTAATGGTAATAATTGATCAAAAGGTGTGGGATTCCCTCTCTTCCATTAGCCCTTTAATGCCCCATTTCTTTCACATAATGAAACATCTCAACACGTTCCTTTCATTCACACCTTAAACAAACCCGGATCCACCCTTCAGTCGTGCGTTTCCTGTAAGTGGGCCGCAAGCTTCGTGTCCACCATTTCACACTCACTAAAAAAAAAAAGTTCAGGTTACTGCCAGCGTTTGCTCATAGAATAATCTCATGAACTGAAATCTTGAATGTCTGGTTATGCCTATTCAGCATTAGCCACTGATCCCTGTTTCTAATGGAAATCAGAGGACCTGAGTAGGTTTATAAGACTGGTGTGACTGAAGCCATTTTGATTTTTCACAGAGGAATCATTGTTTTGTGATCTCCCGCTGTAGACGAGCTGTGTAGGATTGGTTTTTGTAGTGTGTCCGCTGCTGTTGAGCGTTTTAGACGCATGTGAAAGTCTTGCTTTAAGTCAGACCCCTCGGTGCAAATTTCATCAGTGCTTATGAGGAAGTTTCCCAACGTTACTTCTGTTCTGATGTGTTGGAGCGTATCTGAGATGTCGTGTGACTGCAGAAAGAATGGTGCCTTGTTCAGCTGCTTTTTTTTTCTTATGGGAAAATGGAAACCAAACCCTTGCAATGATTAATTTATCCTAAATGTTATCGAAGTTATGTTTTCTCTCGTCTCCACTGCCCTTGAAGTGTGCGGTTCTGTTTCTCCTTCGTCAGGGTTTTTCTGTTTAGTCATTTCCATCTTGCACTGCAAAACCTGGCGGCCTAGTAGTTTGGATTCAGCCAGATGACATCCAAGTATCAAGTTCAGTCAAAAGGGCAGCCGGTCTAACATGAGCAGACCAATCTGATTCAATCTCTGCACTCTCTCACGTTCATTCATCCTTGCACATGAATTCATTCTCTCTGCATGTGTTTCCAGGCCTCCGGAGTTACAGTGGAAGAGACTGTGTTGACGGTCTTCAACGAGATGAAGGTCCGCAAGGCTCATTGCAATGAGGAAGAGAAGAGCAAGAGGAAGAAGGCCGTCATGTTCTGCCTGAGCGACGACAAGAAGCACATCATCATGGAGCAAGGCCAGGAGATCCTGCAGGGCGATGAAGGAGATCCCTACCTTAAGTTTGTGAAGATGCTTCCTCCCAATGATTGTCGCTACGCTCTCTATGATGCCACGTATGAGACTAAAGAGACCAAGAAAGAGGACCTGGTTTTCATCTTCTGGTACGTTTTCGCTCCTGCTTTTCTACCCTGCATTGAGTGTTTAGCTGGTTTTCTGGTGTTTTATCAGGGTTGGAGCTGAAGGTAGATCTTCATAAGCGGGTTGATGGACTTGTTACAGTGTTTGTAAAAAGCATGGGCTGATCTATTGTTGTTACTCAGGGCCCCAGAGAGCGCTCCACTTAAAAGCAAGATGATCTACGCCAGCTCCAAGGATGCCATCAAGAAGAAGTTCACAGGTAATGCTGTCCATCAACTTTTATATTTATTACTGGATAAATAATTCATGCCTATACAAATAAAACATTCAAATGCATTTAATTAATGCATTTCTTGAGTTAATATTTCTAATCCTTAAAGCATGTGCAAAATAAGGTAAATGAAGTAAAATTTTACTTTTGTATTAGATTTTTTTATTATTATTATTATTATTATTATTTTATTTATTATTATTAATATCTTTTTTTTCTTTTTTTTTTTATGGCTTAATGTGGTGGTATCTCGATCATGGAAATTTTTGCTGCTCAACTCCTGTGTCATGTTATCTTGTCAGGGGAAACTTACAGTAAATTTAATTTAAACGCTTGAGCCTGATTATCAAAAGGTGAAAGTCAAACAAAATTGCTGTGCAGGAAAAATGTATCATGAATATGTAAAAATATGTACATTTGAATATTTAGTAATTGTTTTTGAACTCAAATAAACAAATCAAATCTTAATTGAGCTATACATGCAATGACTTCAAGAAACTACATGCAATGCCTTGTTTAAATGTTTATTTATACATAGTATATTTGTTTTAATTTACATTTTACTTTAATTATTAACTAAAATATGAGATGTAAATAATACCCCCCACACCCCCCTAGTTGGCATTTCTGTGTAGAGTTTGTATTTGGGCGTAGTGTATGGATGTTGCATCTGGAAAGGCATCCACTGTGTAAAACATAAGTTGGCGGTTCATTCCACTGTGGCGACTGCTAATTAATAAAGGGACTAAGCCGAAGGAAAGTTAATGAATAAATATTCTAGTTCAATATATTAATGCATTTTAGTGTAATATGTTGATTCTTTAATTGTAATTTTTATGTAATACATTATCCAATATTTTTAAATCTACATTCAGTGCATTTAAATTTAGTTGTTTTGAATGAAAGATTTACATTTTAATTAATCTTTAATGGATCTGTGAGCTTTAAGACCTATTAAATTCAAATTTATTTATATGCATTTTTTTTCTCCTGCTTTGTTTTAGGTATTAAGCACGAGTGGCAAGTGAATGGTATGGACGATATCAAGGACCGAAAGACCCTTGCTGAGAAGCTCGGGGGCGCATCGGTGGTGTCTCTGGAGGGAAAGCCTCTAACCGATTGAGGCTGACACATTTCAGGGGTTTAGCCGTTCATTCCGACATGGGTAGGGCAGATGGGCACAGCACACCACTGTTCGTGGGCCATGGGTGGGTTAATGCGGGTGGGGAGGGTCGGGCAAAAGTGACAGTTTCCAAACTCCACACGACGAAAGATGTAGGCTGTCATTCCAGTTCACACATACAATGAACAAGAACAAAAACACAAAAAGAGAAACAAAAAAAAAGATCTTAAAAGACAAAAATGAAGGATGATGATTATAAAAACAAAGTAATATAACTGTAAATGTGTACTGGCAGGTTTTCCTTCTTTCTGGGTTCCATTAGATTGTCAATACGAAAGACTGAGACAGCAGCCATTACAATTCAGCTATACAACATACTGTTTGTTCTTAAGATTTAGTTTTTTTTTTTTTTTTTTTTGCCAAACGTCTAGTTAAGTTTATTTTCTAAGTTTGTGTGTGTTGCGACTAGGTATAGTACAAAGTCACACATTGTTATCGGACCATTCTGGGAACACGATCTACTCCCCTTTCCCTCTTATTTTATTTTTGAGCAAGTTATTTTAATGATTCCATCTGATTTAAATCTTTCCAAACGTTCAGTCAAAATCATGGCACTGGTGTCAAGAAATTGTACACATTCCTTCTACCTGTATAATCTGGGACCTAGTGGATGAGCGGTCTGTTGAAGAATTTGAATTGAAGGACACGTATGAAGTTTAGATGGGGAGAGCGATATATTTGGGCAGCCTGTGTACAGAGCTTTGATGGATATTGGTCAGTGGATGTTTTGTATCGTCTCCTTATCTCTAATAAAAAAGCACTAAATAACTCTGCTGTGTTACAACTTTTTTTTTTGTTTCATGTTGGGTGAATTATGTGATAAGGGCTGTAACTTGTCTTTTTTGGCCCTGGTTGAATCTAATTTTACTCTTAGGTTTAAGTTAAGTCCATATGAGTTGATCTTTTATATTGGTTTATAGAAATCTGCTTTACATTTTGTGTCTGGATATTGTGCATTTGTTGCTGTTTTATCAGTGTTCAGCATGGTTTATGCACTGGTATATGTGATGGTTTGCAACATTCATAAAGTTTCAAATGGATCCAAACAAAGAGACTCCGATTGCTTTGTCATCCTGGATTTAATGAGTGGTTCCGTTGGGGATGCAGCTGGAAGAAATAAGCAGTTAGTAATGCAGTTGTAATGTATAAACTTTACATATCAAATATTGTTTATCCAGCTTGCTCTGCATTTGTCATCAGGGTTTCAGTAACCAGTTTCATATCTACCTGCTCTATGCTAGGTACCTAAAAGCGTCTGCTAAATGACTAAATGTAAATGTAAAAAAAATTAACAATTTAAGATTTGTTCATTAATATGAAATGATTCTCCTGCTGTAGCGTTTACACAAACCATTAGTATGTATACTCATAAATCTACTTAATGCTAGTATGTAGGTGTATGATAGTAATCAGAATGAGTGTGAAACTAAGAAATTCAAGCTATTAGTCAACAGTTAATTTTGCTAAAAGCTACAAGTATTTCAGTGAACGATTTTAATAGACCGTCGTTTGTGAAATGTTATGCTACACTTAAGTTTGTTTTCTGAAAATGCACACAATGACCAAACATCCAGAGTTTAATCGACTGAGTGAACCGTGAGCTCTACCGCTCAGCCATGTTGTGAAATGAAAGATGCACAAAATGTCAACCAGTGGAGGGCGGTCGAGATCTACTTTCAAATCTTCATGAAATCGGTTTGAACTAATCTGTTCAGAAATATCTTAAATTGAATTGAAGTCTTAAGTAGCTACTGTACCACCAAACTTGACTACTCTTTGAGAAGGCTTTTCTGAGACTGGTGTAGTAATATTAATAACAATTAGGAGTTTTTCAGAGGATCTCTGGTCTGTCTTCTCATGGTCCTTCCACCAGAGGGTAGCATTGTCATATTTTACATTGACTTCCAAATTAGCAAACACACAGCAATACAAAGTATTTAAATTGAAATAAAGACCAAAACCAACAGACGTTTTTACTTTATTAAAATAAAAGCTTTCAAAATATATAATTATAATAAACAATTACCCCACAACCGTTCTAATAGTTTCCTGTCTTTATATTAATCCAACATAAAAGAATATAGAACATTATTTTCCATCACATACTAATGCTACCAATACGCAGTCTTCATCTATCATGGAAATCAATGGTAGAGTGAATTGTAGTCATGGGTTATATATTCAAATGTATGCTTTGACTTTAAGATTTATTATTAATCCATGCTTTAAATATATGTACTATGAAAATCTATTAGCACTCTCAATTTAACTACTGTGACATCTCAAGTGATCATATTTCACAATATTCCATGTTCAAGAGTTGCTTCACTATAGGATTTTGGTCATCTGAGAGAAATTGTGTTAACCCTAAAATATTTCTCTGATCTCTAAGATAAAGTCTGCAAAACTGATTGCAAGTTTGGCATGGTAAAAGGCAGGCCAAACTCGGGTAGCTCATTGTCACCCAATGGCTCAAACTCTGTACAAGTCTTCTTTTGTATGTCCATTTTTAAAGAGGCCGGACTTAGCAGGCAGTCTGGCATTAATGATTGCGATTCCACAGTGAAACATGGAAACACGTTCATACAGTCTGAAAAGCAAACAATCAGAAAGGCTTTGGTGATCAAATAAACTGTTAATCCTAGCATTAACCGATTCCCAGGGAGTAAGAAGAGAAAACCTTTTTCAATTCTACAATAAAAGTGCAAACAACAATTTGAAGCATCTGTAAAGTGTGACCGTTAGAAAGCAAAACTGCGAGAGTCATATTCAACATATCAGATGGCTACTTGACAACATCAATCTACAGTGTTGCACCTTCGATCAGACTAAAGCTGTGTAACATTGGCAGTGTAGTAAGCAAAAATGAAAGGTAGTGGTTAAATATGGTTCCCGCTTAACCCAAGTGATGCACAATAAATCAACTGCTGTTCTGGTATTGGCCAATAATGCTTATAAAGCTATCGTTATCAGCCTGATAAGAAAACTAATCATTGCCTTCCACAAGTCACTTTAAAAGAATTTATGCCCTGGGGAAGACAAGATGTCTGCAGCGTGGGAGTTTTCCACTATGAAGCAAAAGAGGTCTTGAGAAAATAAGGATGTTTTCTTGCAGTGATCTGTATTAAAAGATGTATTAGAACTCAGTTGCCTTTAGTATTTTTTATTTCTGTTTTTGTAGTAAGGCTCAGAAAAAAATTAATCTTGATTCAAATTTATCGGCGTATATACTGGTTCCCAATAAAAAGATTGCTCAATATCCACCAAAATTTCCATATTGATGCATCTCTAAAGTGATCAAAGCCTGTGGGTAGTGTTCTACTAGCTGTGGACCTTCTTTAGTCTAGGATTCAGTAGCCTCACCCGTAAAACACGGTAAAGTGCAGTTTCAAAAATTAGGCATGTCCTATTTCCTCAGTCCTGACTGCAGTCCACCTTATTTCCGTGAACCCAATAACAGATCTGAGCAAACTTCAGCGGAGTGAAGCGAACGGCCACGTTGTAGTCGCGATTCTCGCCATTGATTTCCAGCCACTGATGGCCTGAGAAGATCCCGATGACCTTCCGCTCCCATCGCTCTAAAATATCATCCCACACACGACCATAAACACCAGAACCGCTTGCACCGGGACGTGCATCACAATGCTGGTAGATCAAATCATTGGACTCATCCTCTACCGGACAAAACCGATACACCAATTCCCCAGGACGATCGCTGTCAAAGCCAGAGAAGTGGATGCGTTTACCAGCTAAGTGGTCTGAGGTTGGTGCCACAGCCAATCGCATGAAGGGACGCCTATGAGGCCAACGCAGCTCAAGAAGAGCATAGTCAAAATCCATGCTGACCTCTTGAGGACCTTGAATCCAGCCTTTAGGCACTCGTGTGCGTTTAACTCTCACCCAGCGCACCAGGGGTTTCTTCACTGGAGCCTGACCTGACCTCGTGCCGTTGACCGATGGAGGGATTAGAAAACCCACCCTAAGTTTCTTGGCTCCCTTGACGTAATCCTTTCCATCATGCACACAATGGGCGGCAGTCAGGACATGCTGCTGAGACACCAGAACTCCAGTGCAGCCAGTGGAGATGCGAACTGCTGTGGAGAACGGGTAGTCCAGAAGGAAGTGGTCACCGCGGATGTTAAAGCGCCCATCTGCACCATAGATCTGCCGTTTTAGCCGTTTGTGTCTAGAAGTGAGCTGCCTGGGAGGAGGATCAACATCGACTTCATCCAGATCAACGGTGGTTAAAGTTCGGGAGCCGTCTGCATAGAGAGTTTCAAAAGCTAGGTGCTCTTTATCCTGGTCTTCTGCTTTGTGGTAGCAGCTTTCGTTGCAGTGTGTAGTGAAGTCCAGCTGAGTTTTGGCACTGAAGCGAGAGCGGGACAGGGGGAGGGTGGCGTGGGGTTTCAGTAAGGTGCGGTGGACGTGGGACTGATGGCGAGGTTCTCTCACTGAAACAGAGCTGGGCAGGAGGAGTAAGAACAGCAGGCCTATACAGCAAGGATGAGCCAGACCCAATCTCCAGTTAGGAACCATGGCTGGGATGTTGGCAACCTAAAAGTAGACACAAATGTATATACAAACATGAAATAAAATTCAATATGTTCTTTTTGAAGATATACTTTTATATAAAATGTTTCAAAAGGGGGCGGGGCTTTGTAGTGATGGCATCATCTATACCAATCGGTGCATGAGGAAAGCCAAGAGAATCATCAGCCACTCCAGCCACCCAAGCCATAGACCTTTCTCTCTGATACCCTCAGGCAGACGGTTCCGCAGCATCCGGTCATGCACCAGCCGACTGAAGGAAAGCTTCTTCAGGCTGATGAACACAACACACCTCAAACAGACTCTTTCAAACCTTTGCTTTAAATGCAAATGAGCTGCTCTCCCTGCCCACCATTCCCTTATGTGTGTATGCTTCTCATCTTGCGTTACGTCAGATAAACAGCAGTCAGTGATAGAGACTGACTTGGATGAAGCTGCAATACAGCTCATTAGTCAAACGTACCATCCAAGTTTATTTGATGTATTTGTGGTGGAGTTTAGTCAAGCCTTTCTGAAATGATGAGTCTCACAAAAATGCTGTTTGCAGTACACACACAAACATATGTTAGCGGTTACTGATTATGGCGGTTAAGAATTACATGGCGATTTAACTCTCTATTACAAACATGCTCTGTTTTATAAATGATTTAAACTTTAAAAACATAATCATAGGGATTTGTAAGAAATATTTTAATTTCAGTTTAAAAAAAAAAAACGTTCTGTGCACATGTGTATACATGTCTATCAATTTGGTGGGTGGGGAAAACTGCACCTCCACATCACGTTGTGATGGGCCTCAAAATAACTGGGATTTGGGTCCTGTTTTACCGTCAGTACATTTGAAAAGAGACTTGTTGGGTTTATTTAATTTTCAATATGATAGTGGACACTGTACATACACACAGTTCTGTCCAAACAGCTTACAACTGTTGGTTTTCAACATAAGTGCCCTTTAATGCAACATTTGTTTTAATTATCTAAAGAACCTTTTTAGGCTGCATGGATGGTAAAGGTTATTCCTAGAACCATTGATTCTAATAAACAACCTTTATTTTTAAAAGAAAGTTTTGAGGAATTCACTTGTCTGGTATATATATATATATATATATATATATTCACTTATTGTGAATAACATGCACCTAAAAAGAGACATGGGATATCAAACATCCTCTGAATTGATTCATAGTCTATTATAAAGTATTTTCTGTTAAATCTGCACACTGGTTCTGACTTTTAGCAATTTTCCTAAGACTGTAAATCAAACCGCAATCTGTGTATTTTAGCATTATGAAAAAAATACATACATTCTTAAACTTAATTGGAAGGTTCTTTAGAGAACCCAAAATGGCTTCACAGTGAAACCCCCTTTGTAGCTTTTATTTATGTATTAATTACTATTTTTACTGCCAATATGTGAACTGTTTGTAATGAAACAAAAAAATAAATTCCCTATAATCTCTGGTTGTCTGTTAAAGTTTGGATGATTTTTTTAACGTGAAAGATTCTGGCTGATTTGCTGGGAAAATCAAAAGGTTGTGAAACAGCCCCAAGAGTCTCCATTACAAAATCATCACTTAAATGTATACAGCAGTCATAATGTCGAAAGAGCTATTTTATAAGAAAAGACTTTCACTTACACAAACAATAGTTATGACCAGATGTAATCAGTTTTTTTGTTAATTTAATTTTAATCAGTTAATCAGGCTCCATCATTTTTTAGTTACACAAATTGTAGCCTAATATATTAAGTCAGGTTGACTGATGTAAGTTGAGATGTCTAGAAAAGTTCAGTTAATTCAACCACAGTTTTAACCAGCCATCGTTTTTTTTTTCTCAAAATGTTTCATGAGCATTTATTTAGTTATGTAGAGTAAAGAACACAACACATATACAATCATTCAAAAGTTTAGACAGCCTCTAGATGTTCATTGTCAGGTTTATCACTTCCAATTTATTTTCTAGTGAAATAATGAAAAATGACCCCAGCAAGACTATGGCAGGTGTCGAGTCATATTTAGTTTCTTTACACATTACATATGCTCAAGTGTGAGAATGAGCAACACGATAATGAAAGCATTTATCCTAAGCGTTTCTAAAATAATGAAACCTGCAGATCTTTCATATTGATGCATTGTTGTATTTGTTTTGGTTTAATTGGTTTATTTATTATTAATGTTTTGAAATATGTACTGAAAGCTTTATTATAATACACTTAGATTAACACTATACTATACTTAAGTTGTTTGGATAGCCAAATAGTACCTTGTCTATTCATATTTTAATTACATTCTGGGAAAGAACTATCAATGCGCAAAGCACATATAGACATAGACCTAAATGACTTGAGTAGTCCCAGTACAAAGGGGACGTGCTCATCTGCTCCTTTCATCATGGACACCCAAGTGGGACACCTGAGCAATTCCCTGGACACAACCTGTTTCCGACAACATCCCATTGTCCCGAAACCCCCCAATCTCGTCTTTTTTTGTTGTCTTTCACATCATGAATGAATGTCCGAGCAACCCTATCCACGCCTTTCGTTGTTGTTAAACTCAAGGAAAACAAACTGTGTTTACCTTCTCTCACTTTCCCATTTCGACTGTACAAACGAACAACTGCAGTGCGTTACAACTGCAATAGAATACAAATAATTTTAGTACTTTCGATAAAAAGTGTTTTAAAAGCTGTTATACATATATAACGCTATCTAAGGGCATCCTGAATTAAACGGGACACGCACTACTTATAATACAAATACAGCTGTTTCACCAGTGCGCCTCAGCTTTACGCACACACTCAATCTCAAAACTAGTTCACAAAGTATACTTAACTTCAATCTTCGTTAATAAACACCAATACTTGTTTAAATCCAAATTACAGATTCCTCTTCTGGAAGTTCACCGGGTATCCCAGTTTCCAAGTTTACTCCCATTTCCACTGTGAAGATTTCTGCTGGAGTGCGTGACAGGTCGGCCAAAGCAAAGCAAGCACAGATCCTGTAGTCGCGTAGAGTTTCTTCAAACGCTTATTTTCAACGATCCCTATTTCAACATATCAGACAGCATACTTGTCCTCCGTTGAATGGTGACTTCTGTAGTGCGAAATTAAGGTCGTCCGAGCCCAATAGCCGAAACGTTATGTTGCGCCTCCCCGCGTGGTCCTAGTGCCTCCGGATGCGGAGATACAGCAGAGGATGGTGTGAGGTCCAAAAGCAACATCTACAGTATGTATGAATACTCAGGTTCATCTTCACTACTCCTGCTCCCCAATGCAATTCCTTTAAATGAAATGAACAAACTTGCCTGCAAACAGAGAATTTATTCAGGGCATGTCTTGGCACAATTTAAGATATTCCTGCCTGTTATTAAGCTGTCTATCAAACATAAGCGAGAGTCGTGTCTTGAGGATATGCATTCCTTCTTAGTTCACTTAAATTGCGCTACATGCCACTCAATGCAAGTACAAGCACATGTACATGTGTTTAGGTAATTCTCTTTGCTTATGTTACAACCTATGGGTATGACTGATCTTACCTGTTAAGGATTAAAGAGGCTGAAATGACCTATTGTTGCAGGGTTTGTCTTATGGTGGGACGCATTCCAGAAATACTTGGGTGTGTTGCAGTCGTGATGGCGTCTTGAGCCACAGTGCAAGCTATAGTATAACCTTCTGACCTTGATCTTTCTCAGGCACTGACGCCACTTGTTCCAACTTGCACAAAACTTTTTCTCTTCAGAAAAGCTCTTGGTCAAAGATTTCTGTTTGATGCACTGCACCAAACACTGGGTTTTTAATGCTTGAAATACACACATATAAGGAGTTTTCAATGCCATGTGTGTGATGATTAAAGTAAAGAGGGGAAAATAACTGTTAATTGCCTTTGTTTAGGGTATCCGTGGGGGCTAAACCCGGATTACTAAAGGGACTTGGCCGAAAAGAGAATGAATGAATGAATGAATGAATGAATGAATGAATGAATCCTCTGAATGAAATAAATTGAACATCTAAAAACATCTAAAAACAATACCAACACTGAAACAAATTTCCCATGCTCCTCATCTGATGGTCAACTATCGCTGTAGCCACTGTGATAGTAGCCTGTTTCTCTTCATTTTGTATGTTTGGTGATTGTTTGTACTGTTCTCCTGTTGATGGTTGGGATGTTAAGGGTGTCTATGTTTTTATGTTCTGCAAAGCAGGAACCAGGGGCCTGTTATTTGTACGTGAATTACTCAAATAGCTGGATTTGGTTATTGATGATTTAACATAATCCAGGATCGTTTCGTTCTTCAAAACTTATCTGAGAGTTGTTGTCATAGAAACAGTTCTGGTAGCTCAAACCTGCTCGGGAGCAGTTTTATTTTACAGAAACAGGGTTAGATCGGCTCATTTAAAGCAAAGGTAAAACTGAAAGTATGCACTGATTGCTGACATTTTCTTACATTATCCATGTGAGCAAAATTACATAAAATTCATAGTAAATGGTTTGTTTAATATGATACGCAATAACTTTTCACATTTGTTGTGAGCTGCAGGCTTTGCACTTTCACGTGTAAAGAGTATGTAGCAACTTATTTAGAGCAGATTGTCTTTATTATAGTAGCCTATAGGCCTATTTAAGTTTCTTAATTGGCATAAGGAATTTAAATGTATTTTGCATCAAAAAAGCATTTTAATATTGGTAAAGGCATCTGCAACTTTTGTAAAACATTAAATCACCATCATATTAGTGGTTAAAATGTGCATGGCATTAATCATTATTCCTATATAAAAACAAACAAACAAACAAACAAACATAATAATCTTTCAGAAATTCTACAAAAGCTGGATGGATACCTTTAAATGGTAGGCATTTGTAGTAAAAAAAAAAAAAGTCCATATTATTAAATGTCCTCTTTGATCCCCTTTTAGAAAACCACCTCGTTTGTGTACTTTTATTTACTAATTTACTAATAATTGTAATTTATATTATTATATTTTGTACTATTTTTACTATTACTATAAAGTTATCCAGAGATAAGTTATCAAGATTAAAAGATCCAGGATCTGTCAAATCATCTTAGATCATTTAAGCGAGGTCCGAAAAACGGACCCCTGCTTAAAAAAAACAACAGTCATGCTGAGCAAGGCCCGATTATCTTTTAATATTTTCCCGTTTAAATAATAAAAACTAAAATTAAATATAGTTTGTTTTCTTACTTTTTTTAACACTGAGACTAATAGGGTCTCATTTTTAAAAGCCCTGAAACTTGATTATTAATGTTTGCATTGTGAGGACCCCAAAATGCTGGTGTTGTTTAAATTAACGACAGAAATGCATTAAAACAATCTGTTTTTATCTTAAAGCAGAGCTGTGCAAGCATATTCTTAGTGAGCAAACAGTATGGATAACTTTTAATTTTTCATTGCAAAAGCAGGCAAAACTAGTGAAGTTGCAACCATATCACAACAGTTGAGTTTAAATCTGTGAAGGAACCCCTATGGCACTGACTTTATTTGCATCCTTTGATGGAAAAATTTCCCCTTTTGCGCTAACTATGAGTTCAAAGCCTCTCCCACTGCAAATTATCCAGTGCTGCAGTGAAAAAAACTCTAAAGGAGAGAAGACAAGAATCAGTTGTTCTGAAAATAGACAGCCTGCTGAATAGAGAAAAGGCCACAGAGGCGCAGGACTTGAGCTGAGCTGGAGGTGATAAAAGATCAGCGTCGGAGGAATGGACACACTTTCAAAGGCCCCTCCTCAGGCATGAGGCACGAAGCCAGGACAGGTCAAGAACAAGAGTCCCACTGTAAAGAGAGCTGGGGATTGTCCAAGGTAGCGGATTCCTGCCGAGTGAATGAGCTTTAGGCTGCTGTTTCCAGTGTCCTAACCCCTTATCGCTAACCGTGAAAGAGCATAGCAAATATCAGTGACTTGTCAGCTACAATGATATCCACTTGGGTCTCTGGTGGATTGTGATGTTAAATAAGATATATGTGTGGAAGTGTCTGAAAGAAAGGAGTCGGAAGCAGACAATGAGAAGAGCGTGTCAGTGCCAGCACACGTCAACAGAATCTCGCTCACCCACCGTGACACTCGGTGTACTGCATGATACCATCATAGAACAGTGTTTAGCTGTGGTTTCAGAGATTTTGAGTCTCAGAACCCCTACTAGACTTTAAACATTCCTTACCCAAGTGTAAAACCACAGCAAGAGAATACAGAACAGGAGAAAATAACAACCATTACAGTTCTATTGTATTAAGACAGATGCATCCATGCACCAATATGACCACTATTCATTTATTTTACTTCGGCTTAGTCCCTGATTTATCAGGGGATGCCACAGTGGAATGAAGTACCACATGACAAACTAAATGCAGTAAAATATGGACTAGCACAACTGCTCAGTTTTTTATATGTATTTTAGACACAACTTTAACCCAACAGTTTGTGATTGCATCTTTGTTTTCCAACATGGACTTTATTTCACATTTTACACTGCAATCAGAGTTCATCTTTCTTGCACTGCAATCAGAGTTATTTTTAAGATGTCATGAACAGCAATCTGTTTATCAAGATTTTAAAGTATGTAATATCATAGAATAGGCATGGTTAAATAATAAGTCTTATTAAATAATAAGCCAAGGTTTGGAAATGAATGCCCATTGCTCTGATTGGGTAACAGTCTTGAATGTTAAAATATAGATGTGCTGTGATGTATTCTGAAAGCAATATGGATACTTTTAAATAAAACCTAGAAATTACTTACTAGTTGTGTATTCCTATAGACTAAATGCTTAAAATGCATGCGCATTCCATTTTCCCATATCATGTTTCTGTATTTTACACCGAAACTACACTGGTGTCGAATTTTAAAACTTGCTCTTTGAAGCTAATTTTCATGAGTTTGGATGTTCAGCTGCTGAAATGCTCTTGTTTAAATGGCCAAAACGCATACATTGCTTTTCTGTTGAAAACTAACCGCAAAAACATACAGTGTGGTATAATATTGCTAAAGCAGCTGTTGACACGGAATTGAACCAGATTTTGATAAAAGCCCAAACAATACAAAGTTACAAACATAAAAATAAACAAAACAAATCAGAAAAATCTGTTATGTGTTATAACAATGAACTGACATAAGGAGAAAGTCCTCAACTACTGAAATGTATTTAATGCTTTATATAAAAGGCTTTTTGGTGATGGCAGCTTAAAGACGCCTCTCATTTGGAGAATGAAGTCACATGAATTGCTCTGGTGTGAGTTTTTCACAGACTTCAACAGTGTAAAACTCTTGATGGTTCTGTGGGTCTCGTATATCAAATCTGTTTTTTATTTTGTATTTTCTATTGGATTCAATTCAGGTGATTGGTTGGGTCATTCTACAGCTTGATTTTCTTTCTCTGAAAGCATTTGAGAGTTTCCTTGGCTGTGTTTTGGATCATGCAGAAATGTCCACCCTGGTTTCATCTTCATCCTCCTGGTTCTGTAGATGTTGGACTGAATTGTATAAATCAATGACGAAGTGCAGAGGGTTGCTGAAGAACTACTGAGAGATTTCAGTTGCTCTCTGGGCTTTCATTACCTTTCTGCACCTCTCTTTCTTCATGTGTTCAATACTTTTTTCCTGTGTCATTTCATTTTATTACGCATAATTAGATTTGTTTTCTTTGCATGTATGGATTTCGTTGGTTGTTACCAACATCTGGGGAAAATTTTAAGTCAACAGCACTTTTAGAAAAATGGTGACGTGTTTAATACTTATTTCTCCCACTCTATGTTATTTTTCATTTGGGCCTGTGTAAGACAAATCGGTACTGCCTAAAAAGAACATATTTAATGTTATCATTAACATTCTGATCAGTAAAATTATTAGCAGAGAAATAATTGATTATTTTTGCCAGCTCATCCACTTCCAAATATAACATTATCATTAAAGGGATGGTTCACAAAATAAAGTATCTTTACTCACCCTCAAATGGTCATAAATCTTTGCAATTCTTTCTTCAGTTAAACACAGATGAATATTTAAAAAAAAAAAAAAACTTGTAACTTTTGATATCAAGGAAAAACAAATGCTATAGAAGTCAATGTTACAGATTTTCAACTTCTCTCAAAATATCTTCTCTTAAATAGGTTTTAAACAAGTGAAGGGAGGTTAAATGACAGTTCTTTGTGGGGCGAACTATCCCTTCAACACTTTTTTTAAAAGACACTTTATCAGTGGAATTTGATAAAAATAAAGATATTAATTAAATTTTGTAGCACATTTTTGGTGTCTGTTTTACGTTTATTACTGAATTGTCACATAAATAAGTAAAA